TGGACTGATACAAGACAAACCCTTGTTGCCTTATCATGAACCACCTAGACTTTTAAAAGAGGTTATGATTTATAACCAGGCGAAATGTATAAGCGATGAATTAAACTGAAATTGAGATTTTGATTTGATTTAAATTTTTAGACAAACCTGAAGGTGTGAGGCTCACAACCAATGCTGCACAAAATACCGTCACTGAAGGAGACGCTGTTACATTCAAGTGCATAGTTATGGCTGCTGTGCCACAAGTATCATTTTACAAGTTCTATTTCAATGGCAGCCTCCTAAGCGAGAACAGCAACAGTGAGTATACTCTCAATAACGTCAATCGATCTCAGCACTATGGCGAGTACGTATGTATCCCATATAATGACGTTGGAGATGGAGAAAAAGCCACTGTGAGACTTAACATAAAGGGTGGGTAGAAACATCTTTGAGCATTTTTAAGTACTTTGGAATTATAATCCAAAACAGGAAAAATGTTTTATACCAGTTTACATTGCGTCAATAAAACTTCCCACACAGTGAATCATTACAATCCCGAACAAGGAGAAATAGAGAGAAATAGAGACCCTGGTGATGAGGTTGACCTTTTGTGCCTGGCGAACGACACATGTGCTAGTTAGCAGTATTCTCAAGCCGATGAAGACTTTTGTTGATGTTCCTGATGTTTTCAACAGATTTTCGAGGATAGGGAATGTTTTCTTCATATGTAGTGTATGATGTCAGTATCAGTTGAACTGATATGCTATCGAAATGAATTAAAATATTGGTTTGCGAAAATGAGTCACACTTAAAAACCACAATGAACAACCTCCAGTTAAGATATCACCAGTCAATTATATGCTGCCTTTAATCCTAATAAGCCAGGGAAACTGCAAGTGGTGTTTGACTGCACAGCCCGATACAAAGAGACATCGCTGAATGACCAACCACTAAGCGGTCCAGACTTGACTAACAGCCTGCTTGGTGTCCTCTTAAGATTTCGTCAGGAACCAGTATCTCTCTCCTCAGACATTGAAGCAATTTCCATCTAGTAATGGCTGATTCAAACGATGTTGATAAGGTTAAGGTTCCTTTGGTGGCCTGATGATGATTTATCTAAGGAGCCTGTTGAGCACACCTTTTGGTAGCACGTCTTCACCAAGTTAGGACAATTTCGGTCCAAAAGGAGGACGGCTCCAGACAATGCAGGATACTTTGACAATAAAGTGATGAACACAGTATTGAAGAACTTTTATGTGGATGACTGTTTGAAATCAGTGCAATTAAATGAATTCGCCAGTAAATTGAGAGAAGATTAATGTGTCCTATTGTCAAGAGGTGGATTTCGATTGACTAAGTGGCTGTGTAAAAGGAGGGAAGTCCTCAAAACCATTTCAACCTCAGACAAAGCTTCATCAATTTTGGATTTGGATTTACATTCCGGTGTACCTCATATTGAAATAACCCTTGGTGTTCAGTGTACGATGGCTATGTGATGTACCGATACTTTTAAGAGTTGCCTTACCAATATGTTTGAAAGGAACCAACTTTGGCTGGATACAAAATGCAGAGCTTCACCACTTTGCAGATGCCTCTCAGATTGCTTATGGGACTGTTTCATATGCAAGACTCGTCAATGAAAATGGCTTTACCCTCTGCAGATTCCTCGCTGGGAAATCTCGCTTAGCTCACGTTAAACAGATGACTATACACAGATTAGAATTGTCACCGCTGTTTTATCTGTCAGAATGAATCAGACGTTACAAGAAGAATTTCAGTTAAAATTTGACAAGACAGTGTTTTGGTCAAACTCCATGGCTGTCCTCCAATATATCAAGAGCAAAGAGACAAACGATTCTACATGTTTGTGGCTATTTGCCTGGTAGTGATACATGATGGCTCCCTTCCCAGTAATTTGTGTCAACAAGCATGAACCCAGCTGACAATGCCAGCCGAGAACTGAGAGTAAAGGTGTCGTTAAAGAGAGAAGTGTGGTTCAGAGGCCCTAAGGTTTTTTGGGAAAGTGAGACATCGTAGCCCACCCATCCAGTCTCTTCATTCAGCATTTCTGAGTAAAACCCAGCGGTCAGATGCTAAGCTCGAACAAACCATGTTACTCTCATGGAAGATAAACGACCACTAGACCTTATGGTTCTGCAATATTCGTTATGGTTCAAGTTTAAGAAGGGAGTTGCTTCGCTTCTCAGATTTAACAATTCTATGAGAGCAAGAGGTGCTTACAAGAGGACCCTGTTGATCGAATTCCTTGTGGTAGGCTGTCGATAGACGAATTACAACATGCAGAGGCTCAAATCGTCACATACGTGCAAGCCCTCCCAAACTTGAGCCCAGGAGAATCAGAGAAGGGTAAATTGAAGATTATCAGCCTATTTGGTTCAGTGTGCAGATTGAGACCGTTTCTGGATGGAGCGGGAATATTGCAGTTGGTGGTCGGCTTCAAAATTCTTCATCGGATTACCAATCGAAACATCAATTGTTGTTACCTTCAAAGCACCAGGTTACCAAGCTGCTCATTATAGATGTTCATGAGTCTGTTAGTCATCTAGGCCAAGAATATGTCCTGAACAGTTTGAGACAAAAGTTCTTGATCTTCAAGAGACTGGCAGCTCTTTGAAGAATACTCAGTAACTCTTTGATATGCCAAAAGCAAAATGCTGCAAAGGACCAATCGCTCTGACGAAGAGCTAACGCTCGAAACGTCAGCTTTTTTACCCTTTACGGTGGCCAATTTACGTTTTCAACTCAGTTGTTAACACTAAATTACCTGCTAATTGATTTTAGATTTACCTGGCGACAGGCTTATTCCAGATAAACCTTCGTTTTCTAACGTTGACATAGATTTCTTTGGCCCACTGTACGTGAAGCAAGGTAGAAGTACAGTTAAAAGTTATGGTGTTTTTTCTCTTGTTTAACTATCCGAGCAATCCACGTTGAAGTGACTGAGTCTCTCGAAAAAGATTCGTTTATTTGCGCTCTTTGCAGATTCATCAGCAGAAGAGGGACGCCATAGATGATAAGAGGGAACAATGGTATACACTTAAGTAGCGGAGAGAGAGGAATCCGTGAAGCCCTAAACAACTGGAATCAGTAGAGGATAGAAGTTTTCCTACACCAAAAGAACATCAAGTGGAAGTTTAATTTCCTGGGGTATCACAAATGGTAGGAGTCTGGGAACGCATCATTCGTTCAGTGAGAAATATCTCAAGAGTCCTTCTTAAGCAACAATTGGTTCTGGAGAGACATGCACTGCCAACGTTGATGGCAGGAGTTGAGAGAATTCTCAAAAGTGGCTTGCAGTCCTATTGCTTCAGAATCTTTGACTGCTAACCATTTGTTACTTACTTCGAAATCTGCCACTAGGAGTCTTTGTTAAGAACGATTTGTACTGCCAACGTCGCTGGAAGTAGGGTCAATACCTAGCTGACGTATTTTGGAGGAGATAGTTGTCGGAATATCTACCAAATTTGCAAGAACGGCAGAAGTGGATCAGACCACGTCATAGTTTTGCTTTTGGTGACCTGGTTTTTATTCCTCATGAAAGAGCTCACCACCGTCAGTTGCCTTCGGGCCGCGTTCTCGGAGTTAACTCACAAAGGGATGGATTTATCCGATCTGTCAAGGTTGCGCCAAAGTCCTCTACATTCACAAGGCCAATCTCACAGCTTTTTTTACTCGAACAAGAGATCTTTCTCGCAACGAACGACTCGATTTAATCTACCTGACTATCGTGTTGTTTATTGAAAGTGAAAAAAAGCCTTTGAATTTGTGCATCAGATGTGCGAGAACTTTGGACACTAGCAGACTAACTTAAGGGACTCTTACGTTATTTATAATTTGAATTCTAGTCGCCCAATACTTGAAGTAAACTTAAGGGGTTGGAATGTTGCAAGGAGAATTTGCATTCCTGTCCAATGTCAAGTAACTGCGAAAAGATTTTATATTGTGTTTCTTTCAATGGAAATACTATTGTGATGTTCTGTTTCAATTCAATTAAGCCCGCACTTTTGTATGAGGTTGTGTAAGAATTACGTAGTGCTGGTAGCACTTTATTTCTCGCCAGTATAAGCTTTGCTTTCGTTACATACTTCTCATTACTTGTTGATTTCAATTAATTCAGTCGTTTCGTTAGTTTTAGTTAGCGCCGTGTTACTTTTGTTTGAGAGTTTTATTACCAGACCTGGTTACGCCACAAATTGAAAAGTCATTTCTATTTCTTGTAGCTCTGTCGTTGGTCTTGTTGTTATATTTGTATTTAGATATTTGTGTTAATTATTTATTTTAAGTCGAATCACTTGTACACAACTACACATCTACACAACTACATATCTTTACATCTATATATTCGTCTATCGGGCAAACAGATTAGCTGTGCATTCATTTTGTGGCGAACCTAGCGCTACAAAACCTTTCCCATTTTACTTGGAAGTGCACTTTTTTCGATATTACAAGAAACCGTTAGGCTCTATCTTAAAATTAAGTAAAATTGATTATTAATATATATAATATTAACATATTAACACTTGACACTTTGTCACATGACCTTTTATTTCAAACTTGGCC